ACATCATCTTGATCTGCAGATTAGGCACTAACTGGAACAACACCAACAGTTACTTCAATGTTGGTTGATGCATCTTGCTCTATCTAGCAATCCTTTTCTGCAAGCTTTATTTTTTTTGGCAGGTTTGGTATCTCCGCACTCTGAAGAAAGTGTTACTCCAGTGGATCAGCAGGCAGAAGAAAGAGTCACTCCAACCATTGCTTCTTCAGAATGCCCTTCACCACCCAGTAACCAGACCATTTTTCTTGACTGGAAGATTTCCTCCAGAAAATAGGACCTCTTTTGTAATACTGCTGGGGAGGCATGGGGCCAAACCCTTTATTTTTAATGGCTTATATCTTGTCGTACCTGGTGATAAAAACAAACTTATTTAAATATTAGGGCACCTCTGGGTATGGGGGAGCATGTGACCTTCTCCCCATAACAGTACTCAGGCTTACAAGCCACTGTCAAATGACCATGGGAGTGATGTCACTACTCTTCCAGGTTGCTGACACTACTGATTTTTGTGCCAGCTGTAATTGATGAAGGATGCACAGGCAAGGTGAGTATAGGGGGATCAGGGAAGATTCTTAGGAGAGACGCCTTCACTGCATTTATGAATCCACTAAAAAAAAAAACCCCAACCCATTAAAGGTAATTATAAATGCAACTAATATAAGTACCAATCAAGCTCTACTGCATACACATGTGCTGTCAATGAATATGCTTACAGGATGGAGAAAAGTGATCACTGGAATGTGCTCATCAGTGTGCTGATGTTTCTTCATTGTTCAGTCGGAAGAGGTGACCAAGCTGTACAGTGTGCTGATGTTTCTTCATTGTTCAGTCGGAAGAGGTGACCAAGCTGTACTGAAGTGCTCAGTGGTTCCTCCTTCCTACCTTCACATCACTTCTTTGTCCTGTAGTGACTTACATGGTCTTACCATTCCCTTTCTTAACAATCCTGATGTTTTGTAGTCCCTCGGAGATTGTGCTTGTTCACAACTTCATTTTTTATTTGTAAACATAAAAACTTTATGCAAAGTAGAACCATTTTTACCGCGTTTGATTTTCCAGAACCATAGATGTCTCCATCATACACCATACCGGCATACACCCAATTTGGGTGCTGGAACAACTAGTGCATGACGCCACTGTAATCCATGGCAAAATTATGTTGTCAGCACACCTTCTGCTTTAAAATTCATCTTTATCAATGTTCATTCAGCATATTAGAAGAAACTGCAACATTTCAAAACCTCGCAGGGTCCCTTCATCATGCAAAATGACATAATTTTGCCTGATGAAGGTACCCTGCGAGGATCTGAATGAAGATCGATGTTTCTATGATTTTCCAGAACATTGCTTGTAGCCAGTACATAGGGGAGATTGTGCAATGTTTTCCCTGGTCATGATACAAGATATAACTCTTTCTTAAGTTGACTGCTAAATGGGAGAATCTGCCTTCGCTATTACCACCTACTTCTCTTTAGCCATACAGGTATAGCCGGAAAAATTTAATAACTATTACATGGCATGGCTGTAACTTCCAACTTCTGTGCAGGCTTCTGGAGAAAAGCAGTCAACTGCAAAAGCAGGAAATAAGATCCAGAAATAGGACATGGTAACATGATGCTAGGTGTTGCCATATTTCATGAAAGCAACATTGAAATTGTTTGGCAGTTTTACAAAAACATAATAGGTACAAGCTAAAATAGAAAGCACATTTTTAATGACATTAAATTACAAAAAGGCTTGTGTAGTAATGATATGTGTTATATCCATTTTTTTTAATGACAGTGGAGTTTTCCTTTATTTGTCATTGAGCATCCTGAAGTTTCGTTGTAAGGTACACCAAGTTCTTCTACAGGCCAAACTCTTAACATTGAAAAAAGGGGATATTTTTGACAGCGTGATAAGGCTTGGCGGACACAAGTGTGCATGACTTGTTTGGAACAGGGGCTAGGCCTTATATGGCCCTTCCACAATACCCTAAAACATATATAGTATACATATACACACATATGCACACTATATATCAAAGCCAATGCACATCTTGCCACTCCCTTCCCTTGCAGCATACTGTTTTCTGAGTACTAATGCCTACACCAAAATCTTTTGCACAATGTGAATAGTTTATTAAAATCTGAACCTGCCGGAGTACAGGTATTGCTGGATGAGGACCTCTAGTATAGGGTACAAACGCAAGAAGGCTTATATAGGGTGAGTCTTTCCTTTGCTAATGTAGGTCAAAGTAAAAAGGGTCGCTTAACTCCCTACCTTACTCATCAGCACATACTCATCTGTTCCTCATTTCCATACCACTCCATTTGACCAACACGAGTGCATTGAAATATCGACACTTCCAAGTATAGGAGACCATGTGACTAAGTGGCCTTTTGTTATGAGACAGCACTGGTTCCTTTTGATAGGCCCATCACTGTCCATAGACCATAGCCAAGTGGGAGCTCTGACAAGTCAGTTTGGAGCATACACATGGCTTTCTTGGCCAAATGGATTGAGGAAAGGATAGAATATGCTGCTGGGGGGTGAGAAGTTACATGACCCACCTACTTTGCTTGCCCTATATGAGCAAAGCGAAGGGTCACTTTAATAACAGATTATAGAGGGCAAAAATAATATGCAGATTAATTCTGCTATTCTATGATTACACTAGCCCATAGGAGAACTACTACCATAGGTACAGAGATTTTAGGGTCCTTGAGTCTAAATAAGACGTGGTGTATCTCCTTCTGCCTTGTGCTCTAATAGATCATTATTCTTTGCTTATTGAAGCTTTGCTTAACTTGCTGTGCATGTCAGACAATTATATAATTGTATTAAACTAATTTACTCTACAATTCAAATGCCAAACGGAAAAAAAAAATCTACATCAGTGAGCAGCTCCAGCTGCCCAAATATTTGTAATCTTGTGATTCCCACACCATGCACACCAGGGATGGAAACACCTATATTTCTTACTAAAGCTTTGCTGATTCCTCAGTCATTGGCCAGCTCATTGGACTTGAAAAATGAGCATCATCAAATTGCTGAGGACTTTCTTTTCCAGGGCTGCCAGGTCTCTTTTTTTATAAACTAGATCCATCCTGTTCAAAACTAGCCAAAATCCCTCCTAAAATAACCCAAGGATGAACATTTTTTTAATATTAGAACAGTAAATAAAATGGGCAAAAGGCATACTGCATTAGTACAGTTTGGCTGAAAACATGCCAACCTGGCAACCTTGTGACTGCTGTCTTCTCTCCCTATAAGCTGCCTAAGCCCCTCCCCTCTAGGTCCCAGTGCCTGAAAACAAATTAGACTCACAGCACTCTACTAAAACAGAGATGAATCACAGAGCAGAATCCCAAACCCTTAATTTAATATCTCCAGTGCTGGGGTTGTGGTAAGATATTATAAAAACAGCTTTTAGACAGCTATACTAGCCATATTAAAATACATTTAATTATTTTTGTGACCACATACTGGACTATAGTTTGATTTCATCTGTTTGGAGTTTTACTTTGACATGCTTTGTGCTATTTTCTATGACTATCAGTTTGCTTTCTTTCGCACGTTAATGTGCACTGTGTAAGAGCAGCCCATTGATACAAATGGGCTGTCAATGCAGCAGAATGGACCAAAAAATGCACCATTGTTCCAGGTGTGTCCCTAGCCTTTTGCCATTTGATGCAGTGAAGGTGGAGGGAGGACGCCAGCCAAAGAATCCCACTCAGCCCCTAGCAACTAGACATGTAACTGGTTGTCAGGAGCTGAGCGGGACACTACCCAGACCAGTAGCTATGAGCTGGCGGGGAGAAGTGTATGGCCTTTGCACATGTCCCCCTTGTGGCTTTTAGGAACCTGGGACACTCTGGCCAGAAAGGAGGCAGCACAAACATTGTGATAAAGCCTGTTGCCTCATTAAAGGGATGGCCCTGATTGTTTCTGATGTAGTGTGTTACAGCGCATGGTGGTGTGTTAACATGCATTGTGCGTCGAAGGTGAGTTGCTTGGTGCAACGCGGTACAATTTAAAATAAAAAGCACTTAATGGCACACCACTGCAGGTTTGATGGGCCTTAAGAGCAGTGATGATATGTACATTGCAGCAACCCAATAAACTGTATGTCAGGCCAAGACCCTTTTTCAGCTTTTAGGAAGGGTGAGGACCCCCTCAGGTTTTATCTCTTATTGGCCTTTACTGGGGAGATTCACCCTCTTACTTTGTCTGGGTGACCATTTTCATTGGTACAAAAAGTGATGGGAATTCCAAAATGTTACAGTTGTCACCAAGACAATAGTGTGATAATAAGCTTGCATTGGCAAGAACTGTTACAGTGACAAATGGATGACAATGTATGACAGACTGAACCCGATCCAAACCTAAGTCCTTCCAAACCCAGAAGTTATATGCTGTGACCCGCCCAATGGGAGATGCCTTGGCCCACAGATGAACATAAACAAAGGGGCCTGATGCTTGTGCTAATGTCATTCACCTTATATGGCCATATTAGGTCAATGTCTTTGACCAAATATAGTCATGTGGCCATATAAGGTCAATGACATTACTACATCCCACCCCTTTGCTAATGTGCAGCAGGAATTTCCTGGCCCCAGCTGATTGGTTGGCAGCAGAAAGAGCTTCCTTCCATTTTTGGAGGAGCTCAGGTCTGAACCATTTGATTATGGGCAGCTGCAGGATGGGGAATGCCCAGCCCGCCGTTGATTGGATGGAAGTACCCATGGAACTTCCATGTTCAGAGGAACTCAGGTTCGAACCTGGTTTGATCCAAACCTGAGCTCATTTATACTGTTGTGTCTCTGGGACAGGAAATGAAGGGAAATCTCCCCAGTAGGGGTAAAAGAAAACTTGATATGGGTTTAACTGTTCCCTAACCTATCCAAAAATAAAAAAAAATTTGCCTAGAGATATTCTTTACTGTACATTGCTCATTATCTTACTGAATAAATCCTTTTCATCACCATCTGTCACACATGAATGTTGCTCACACATTGAAAAACACTGAAAACCTTTATCTCAAGGCAACGGAAATCAAAGTGGATATTATTTTTAACAGAATATACAAGAAATAATACAAAAAAGAGAGCAGACAGACAGAATAGGAGGGTCTGACCAGTGTAATGACCATACAGAAATACATTATATACATACAGGCCGGACAGAAGCAGGCCAAGACCAGTGTAACAGTTTGAATCCCACTGCAAACCACCACCCCCAAGGCATGCTGGGAGAGCAGCTTCAAACAGCAGGACAGTGGAAATCATATAGACACATTTGGAGCAATAAAAAAGATTCTGGTAAAAAAATTGCAGAAATCAAAGAAAGGGGGGAAAAAAAACAACAAAAAAATGTAATCATATAAAAACACAAATCTGGCAACAAATAAGATTAACTGGCGGAGGTCTGTGGTGGGTAATGTGGCGATGGCGACCTCCATTTAAGGCAACACCAGGCTGGGTGGGTGTGGCCGACAACAGACCTTAGTAAGCGAACCCTGCAGTGTCAGATAAATTGGAGGACCCACGGATCCGACCATCATATTGGGTTTCCAAGGGATCTTCTGTAAATATATATTGAGTCTTTGCATTCTTTCATCTTCTGCAAACTCTGATTCAAGAGCAAGAAGTAGTAAAAATCCACAGGCTGGAGATGTCAGCTGACATACGAGACACGCCAACACGGTGCCATCCATAGAACAGGAGAGCCCAACCACATTGCATGTTAACACTGTAGAGAGAAGAGGACATAATGAGTTAAGGGGCTGATCAAGTTAAAATATAAAAAGAGTCTAGATCAGGGGTCCCCAAATGGAGGACCATGGTCCAGCCACAGACCGAGTGGTATTGGGTTGTGGCTTGCCGACCTGCATTGGGTTGTGGCTTGCCGACCTGCATTGGGTTGTGGCTTGCCGACCTGCATTGGGTTGTGGCTTGCTGGCAGTGGATACACCAACCTGCAAGGCGGGTGCATCCACTGCCAGCCATAACCCAGAGAAGGCCCCCACTTCGCTTCAGTCACTGGTTGCTAGGACTGCTGGAGTCCTAGCAACCAAAGACTTCAAACCGGGCCTGTCAACAACACGTTATCCAGAGAACATTTATTCTAGCCTGCGGTTGTGCTGTCCCCTCCCTGAACCCCCGTTTGTGGTTTTCGGGGTCCCCTGCTCCTCTGGGGAACATGGGACCATGGCAGAGGGTGTCAGGATGGAGAGCGGGCACAGACTGTGGAACATCCATTCCCCGATCTGCTCTGTGTTCCATGAAGCAGGGAGCGCTGTGCTCACAGCTGTCACAAGCCCAGCTGAAGTGTCAAGTATACAGACAATCAAGTACAATCCTGTACTTAAATCATCTGTATTTGAGGGCAGGAGAGACTCGGGTCTAATAGACCCTTCATGTCTCCATAAAGAGAACCTGTCACCTCCAAATGCTGTTACATAGGGGATTCTTAGCCCCTTTGTGATAGCAAAAGTTAAGTGGAAAACAAATTTAAAAAAAGGTGATAAAAAATTAAAAAAATAAGAATAATAAAAAAGAATAATCAGCATTTGAAATAGCTTAAAATCCTTTTGACTTTAATATTTTTTAACAAACAAGACAGTGTTAACAAAATAGACAATACAATGGGTCTAACCTCTGCAGCTGAACCGCCTCCCCCTCTGCCCAGCAGTCCATGCTGGTCATTCCGCTTTTCCGATTTTAATTCTACAGCGAGCTCAGCTGATGCAGGATCCTGGGCTCTGCAATGGAAAATAAATATTACATGAAGTCACTAGAGACAAAGATTGCTGCTAACTCAGAGATAACACATGGAATGTTGTGGGAGAGAGACGGCTCCTCAGAAGTGATGATTGTCTAGTCTAGTCTAGATGAGTGACAAAAGACTGTTACCTGCTACAGATAGCAAAGACCACCATTCACCCGACAAAGATAGCAAAGCAATGTCTAATGAGGACCAGGCCGTCTCATTCATATGCTTTTTGACTGATTCTAATGTCCAATATTAGGGAATTATAGGATATAGTATACAGAGATACAATACATACTGTATATGAGAGCTGTGTTACCTGCAAAGGATTTGTATTTCTGTCCATCCAACCTTGAGATTTATACAGCTCTGTCCCACAAGCCGTTTCTAGCAAGGGAGGGGACGTACTCTTTCTCGGTTACAGATTCACTTTTACTTACAGTTCTTTCCCCTGCCATATAGTGACAGTGAACGTATAAACAGCACACTGAAGAACTCATTGATCTGTCACTATGTTCTCGCCTCTTAACAGCATGTTACTTATACTAACTGCCTCATTGTGCTGCTTCTCCTTCCCTTATCTGAGCTCTGCTGTACAGATTTTGTTTGTAAGCTTTGGATAGAGTGGGAAAGTGTTAAAACCTCTGGTTTTTATTGTTCTCTGTGAACCCATAGGGGAGAGTCACCTTCTCTATGCACCTTGAAGAGTATTGTTTCCAGGGCAGAAAGTGATAGAAAATCCACAATTTAGTATCACCCGAATAAGAGGTAAGGGAAAATCCTTAAATGGGAACACCTGTGATGGCTGTCTTGGAAGGAATTTCCCCTCACTTTGGTGAGGGTCACTTCTTATTTCCTGTTGTGTCCTTGTTACATATATATATAGATATATATATACACATATACAAAAATACACACACATACACAAATATTTAAATACAAGTGTAATCAATGAATTTACATAGTATCAGCCTCTTGCAATTCCCCTATACAGCAGCACTTAGACTGGAATAGGAAGGGGCATCCATGGGAGGTAACAAGGTTGTGTTGCATGCAAATGCACTGAGAAGGAATGCAATGGCAGAAGGAGCACAGTGAGCAGAGAAATAACCTAATCACTCTGCTGCTGCTCCCTAACTGTCCAGTCACAAGCTTGCAGTGATAACATCCCTGTATTCCTTAACTGCAGCACAGAATGTGGTCTCATCTGTCTGGCTCAGATGTCTGACAGGTGTCTTACATGTGCTAACAAGAGACATTCTGACAGGAGGAGAGAGCAGAAAGATGACCACATCAGTCACAGTCATTCCATTCACAGTCTGGAGGAAGGGAGGTGACCTATCTATGTTACTTATATGATGCAGAGAAAGTTAGGTCACTGGCTTGGCTATGCAGTGTAGCAATGCTGTGTAAATATCAGGACTGAGTAGACATAATTACAGATCGTTTGGCAGGTAAAGCAACTCCCACATACAGTATCCATTTCTATCCAAAATGAAAAAATACAATTTAGATACACTTTAAAGAAGTCTGTGTCCTGCCCCCACCCCCCAATTCCCACAAAAACAGCCTCTCCCATACTTTGGCCAAGTTACATTAATTTCAGCGCTTCCAACCCTTTGAGAAGATCAAACGTGCTCTGCATCCTTTAAACAGCTGTGAGGTACGACGTTGCCAGATGGCAAAAAAATTGTAGATATTCGTTTGGTCATGTGTGTAACTGTCACCTTTAAATGATTTGTTGGAAACTATTTGCTTGATTTTTTTAAAAATAGAGTTTTAATAATGGTGGGTGGATCAAAAGGTCACTTTCAAACTTTCGTGTGGCAATTCTAAATTCCAGCAGCTGTATCAAGCTTTGCTCTAAAATCAGTAGAATTATACTACATTATATAGCCAACTGTCCATCACACCTATATGAACATTGGACTTTCTATTCCCATATCATGGCCATTAACATGGAGTTGCACCCTCTTTGTGGCGCTAGCCATCGATAGTTGTGTGTTAGTCCCGTTAGTTAACCTCCTGCCTCTTTTCTGCCAGTCTTGGTGGCGGCCTCTGACCATATGGTCCAGGATATATAGGTGAGGGAGAGGAGTCTAGAAGGAGGAGTGCAGAGTTTTTTTTCCTGAGCAAGTTCCCCCACCATCATGGGATTGAAACTCATCAAACTTTTGGCACTGGGAATTCTGTGAAAACCCGAGTATGGGGATCCGAGTCTGTACTACCAGTTAGATGGAGAACAACTAACAGAACACATGACCACCGGTAAGGACCAAAGTCTGACTTTGGAAATGCCAGTTATTTGGACACTGTAAATAAGCAACTATGCAAGTTCATAGAAATATTCAAAGAAATCCCAGGTGGAGATTCCATATCTGTGTGAGCAGCTATGGGATTAATAATGTACTGTTTAGTGTTAGGGTGTGAGCACCCTTAAGGAGTCTACTGCTAGCGAGGGTTGGAGTAGGCTGTGTTCACCTCATGATCCTCCATGGGAAAGTTAAAGTGTTGAAAGTTCCACTCCTGGCCTAGTTGTCAGGCGGTGCCACGGACTCACAGCATGGGTAGGAACCCACTGGCAGGAAGCGGACAGGAAGATCCAAAGAACGAGGTACAAGAGGGCAAATCCAAAGGGGTAGTCAAGTCCAGTCCGGGTCGAGGCAGGCAGCTAAGATTCAAAAGCGGTAGGCAGGCCAAGGGGTCGGTAACCAGGAAGTTCAGATGAGGGGTCAGGAAACGACAGCAAGATCCAACAAAGAGGCTAGTTGATCGCACCATAGAGGTGGAATAACTCAGCAACAAGCCAGGGCTCTGACCAGGTTTTTATAGCCAGTGGAATCAAGACCACCCCCTGGTCGCCGAGGCAACCAGGAGGCTTTTCCATCCGGGAGGCAATGGCAGGAAGAGAGGGATGGAAGGTGTGTGCTGGGAACCTCGCCCAGCAAGGCCCACACCTGACGTCCCTAATGGGCGCAGGCACGCGCGCGCAGTCTGTCTACCACGCATCTTGCGCATGTGCACCTGCAACCCTGGCACCAGGAGTTCTGCCAGGCCGAAGGAGCCCCCGTGCCTTACATAGTACCCGCGGGTCCCGAGGAGAGGTGACACCCCTGGTTCCCTGAAACTAGTCTAAGGGAAGCAATGGGGACTGTACTATGGATGCCAAGCGAACCATTAAAGTGACACTAAACTCAGAATCTTAAAAAGAACCACAGTGAGATTGTAAGAGCCGTCTGAGGCCTCATTTGGAGAATTTTCCCTTGCTTCCTGTTCGAGTGATGGCGGCCAACGATACAGGCAGTAAACAGAGATATTTGCTGCTGTTACTGTCACAATGAAGTAAGAACAAATCTTCACAATGGGCCATAAAAAGCAATGAAAACCCAACCCAGCCCTCCGCAATCTACCCAAAACGAAAAAAATAAAAGGAATGTTTCTGGATGATGTAACACTTTTAATGTGGAAACATACATTACTAAATTTGTTTTGGGGCTGTTTTTAATGTATTTACTTAGTAGCCCGGAATCATGTTCTAAGAGCCTAGCATTCTCCTCTTGAGAATACTTTTTACACATTTCCCTCTATTGTTTACCAAACACAAGCTGAGGTTCACACACAGTGTGCCAAGAAAATATCTCCCACAACATAACACCACCACCAGCCTGAACCGTTGATACAAGGCAGGATGGATCCATGCTTTCATGTTGTTTTTGCCAAATTCTGACCCTACCATCTGAATTTCGCAGCTGAAATCGAGACTCATCAGACCAGTCAACATTTTTCCAATCTTCTATTGTCCAATTTTGGTGAGCCTGTGTGAATTGTAGCCTACATTTCCTTTTCCTAGATGACAGGAGTGGCTCCCAATGTGGTCTTCTGCTGCTGTATCCCATCTGCTTCAAGGTTTGACGTGTTGTGCGTTTAGAGATGGTATTCTGCATACCATGGTTGTAACGAGGGGTTATTTGAGTTACTGTTGCCTTTCTATCATCTCAAACCAGTCTGCCCATTCTCCTCTAACCTCTGACATCAACAAGACATTTCCTTCCACATAACTGCCGCTCACTAGATATTTTCTCTTTTTCGGACCATTCTCTGTAGACCCAAGAGTTCGTTGTGCGTGAAAATCCCAGTAGTCCAGCAGTTTTTAAAAATATTGAGACCACCCCATCTGGCACCAACAACCATGCCACATTCAAAGTAACTTAAATCCCCTTTCTTCCCCATTCTGATGCTCGGTTTGAACTTCAGCAAGTCGTCTTCACCACGTCTAGATGCCTAAATGCATTGAGTTGTTACCATGTGATTGGCTGATTAGCAATTTGTGTTACAAGCAATTGAACAGGTGTACCTAATAAAGTGGCCGGTAAATGTATATATAGACACAACTGTTTATTTAAAAAAACTATCTATATACATACACACACATTTTATATATATCTATATAGATATATAGACATATATCTATATATCTCAGTATATATATAAAATGTTTAAAAGTGTATAAAATAGACAAAAACCTACTAAAATAAAAGTGACCCAAAACCATTCTAGCTTTCCTTTGAAAGGATGCTCACACAGTAGGGTCAGTTATCCACGTCCTTGCACTTGAGAGATAATATGATGCCAGAACGCTGATGTATTTGAGTGTAATGGCAGAGCACTGGATCACAGTGGAAGGCGCAACTAGTTTCCTGAAAGGATGTTTAAAAGGTCCCGGCAAACAATATGTGAACTCCTCGAGGAAGTGGTGGACATAACAAGATTGCTGCTTGGCTAATTATTCAATGGTGAGCATGTGCTAATCTGTGATTAGTCATCTGCTGGAAACGATGAAAAAGCCAACAGCAAAATAAACATGTTCATAACATAATAGACGTTCTAAACATTAGGGGCTTTTTTAGACTGCAGTTGCACCAACATGCTGGATTTTTGGATCTTTAAAAAAAAAAAAGAGACTATTTTATGTATGATTTTTGGCATTCTTGT